ATGTATGTATATTTGTACGCATATTTAGTAGATATTACTTAAAAACAAAAGAGGATAATAACATGAAGAACATGAAAAAAAACGATAATACAACAGCTATATGAATGCAATGCTGGCGATAGAAATAGAAAGTGCAATAGGGGCATACTACAAATATACAATACATAATACCAAATAAAAGAAATGGGGAAATCACCACAAAAATATACACATGTTTATTTGCAAAAACTCTGAACTAAAAAAAAAGAAATTTCGAAGCAGAATAAGCATGCAGCAGGAATAGAACAAATCGGAGAATAGAATATGCTCGTAGAACATACAACTTTTAAGGCTTCCGCAGCGAACTTCGAAAGTTCAGAACATGCCAACACAATCCCCTAATTTAGTCTAGTTGGTGACATCGGCGGTTCGACATACTGAGGAATGGGATCGTGAACATATATTTGTGCCTATATATTTTAGTATAACGGTTTTTAAACTTGTGTGTGACATGAGAAAGTAAATACTATATGCATTGTCAATATGTATGTATACTCAAATTCCCAAGCGAAAATCTAATGCAAGTGATTTTTTTTTCTTAATAAAATATATTTTACATATTAAAAAGTTATATGAGATCTCTTACACGCAGATATCATTTTAAATATGGAAGTTATAAAATAACATTAACAGTACAAGTCTATGATATGCTAACAAATAAAAATAAAATAAAAAAACACAGAAAAGTTTCTCCTTTCATGGGAGCAAATAATGTAACTTTCGTTTCATAAAAGAATCGTTGAACAACAACGAATATGAAGCACAGCTCGACAAAATACCAATAAATCGTTAAATCCTCTTATGGAGAGAAGCACAATGAAGCGGAAGCAGAGGCGATACAGGTATGCAGAGGGCAATAAAAAATAATCATAATCGTAATAAACGACACACATTTTTCGACGTTCATAACGTTATGGAAGATATATATCTTAGGGCCTCAACAAAATAATAATGCCCTAACAATTGTATCCATGTGTAGCTGAGAAACACCAAATTGATTTTGTTCCACGTAATCACAAATATTTTTTTTGACGGTGGTCCAATATTTCAGCTTTTTGGGCACCATCATTTTATTTGTATGCATTTTTATGTAAAAATTCCCATCAATCATAATACTTGCCTTCGGAGACCAAATGTAAAATTTAACAATATATTTTTTCGTAGAACATTTTAACCCTGTGATTCATAATGGGTAGGTAGGCTGGTAGGTTATGCTGGCTGACCATAAGAGGTAATGTCCATAGTATTGCCAGAAACGCTGAAATCCATGGGTATCAGTGCTTTCAAGCAATGTTGAAGAAAATTTCCGTTCCTTTAGCGAATTTTATTTGACAGATGTACCTTGCCGAGTAATGCGGAAACTCGCAAATTATACATACATATGTATATATGTTCCACAGTTTCTCATGATTGTTAAACTTTCAACCAGGGACCAAAAATAGTTATTTTCAAAATTTCAATTCAAAAAAGTCAATTCAAAAAGTTTTTAATATTTGTGTACAGCAATGTGATGCTTGTTAGCCACGGAATTTTAATCCTATATGATTTTTATTTTTTTTTCCTTTTTTCAAAACTGTCTTCAATTAACCGTTATTTTTTGACTGATATTTTTTCAGTGAAAAGTAAAAGTAAAAACTTGACTTTTATTTTCTTGGTCAAATATAAAAGTTAAAATTTGAATTTTATTTTTTCAGTCAAAAATAAAATTTAAATATTGACTTCTTAATTTTTCGGTCATTTTTTCAGTCAATTATAAAAGTTAAATCTGGCTTTTATTTTTTCGGTCAAAATGGCAGTTTACATACACTGGCGGTCATTAGAATAGACTCGCCTTACTTTGAAGAGTTTTGGCTATATTTGCATGGTTTATTTTATGTTTAATATTTTTTTATAAAAGCCTGGCTAGCTATACAACCAACACCATATAAATCCCCTTTTCAAAAAATTTAAAAAATTCGACAAATTTTCACCAAAGTTTTAAACTTTTTATTCAGAATTTTTAGAAAAATTTCTGGTATGCAGTTTTGTAGCCCATTCAATTTTAGGATAACAAAATGCACCGTTTTATTTTAATTTAATTTAAACTTAAAGTTATTCACCTTTTTACAGGTATGATTCGGAATTCAATTTAACAATTAATATAGCTGCCAAGTTCTGCTCCAACAAATTTGATCGCAAATCGCTAAGAATAAGCTTAGTGCTGAGAACGTGCGTTCTACCCTGACTTGTGTCGCTGGCACTTGATGTTTAATATGTACATGGCAGATATCTTAGTTGGGGTATATAATTTTTTTATTCTCCCAGTAATCCATAAGGTCCGTATCAACATCAACGCGCTTCTCCTTATAGGTGTCTATTTCCATAAATGCTTTTCGAACGCAATCTTCGGAAAAAAGTCAAGTTTTAAATTTTATATTTGACTGAAAAGAATAAAAGTCAAATCGTAACTTTTATTTTTGACTGAAAAGAATAAAAGTCAAATGGTAACTTTTATTTTTGATAAAAAAAATTAAAGTCAATTTGTAACTTTTATTTTTGACTGAAAACATATCGGTGGAAAAATAACGATTATTTTTTGACTTTTTTGAAACAAAAGCATAATCGTTACGGTCGCTGCTTTCAAAACACTTTTTGTTTCCATTTATATCCTAAAATATCTATTAATTTAATGACTGCCAGTAAAGTTCTACGCTCATCAGTTTTGAAGAATAAATTAAACCTTTAAACCGTAACTGAACTTTTTCAAATAGGATCAAAAAGCGGTGAATCAATATAAATTAAATATATGTATGTATATGTAGGTATAATAGAATTTACTTTTGAAATATTCGCTAAATTTTACTATTGGTTTCCGAAAGCAAAAATTATTATTGCATACATTATTTCTCAATTTAGGCCAACAGATAATAGCATAGAGCATTAACGTTCAATCGGATGATCGGAGTTTCTGGTGATCCCTGGTAAATGTCCTGCTTAACATTTTCCGCCATGTATGATCATTAATCGAGAGAGGACTGTTGCAGTTCTAATATGCAAGCTTATTCAAAATGTGATAGGAGTTATGTGGTTATAATTAGCTATGAAAAAAATCTATGGGTTAAGAAGACAAGATTTATGTTTGAGGTGAATTTTTACAAAAATTTTTGCACAAAAAGTGCGAACATATACTCACTGTAAAAAAAGACTATGCTGATGCGATGGATCGAAATTCTTTTGGGACCTAATTACCATGAATGGATACTAACGTTTGGGAAACATTTCGTTGTGGCCTTAAACACTTAAAATTGTTCCACAGTGTATTCAAAGGGGTATACCCAGCGGATGTCTTTAAAATTTCCAAATTTTTCACTTATTTTAGCAACGCCGATAATTATAATTCCACGGTTGCTGTCCGACGTATAAGTTGTATTCGAATCAAAATTTTTCATTTTCGAATGAGCCATTTAAATAAATATGTATACTACTAGGATAAAATGAGGAGTGATTCTAAAAAAAAATAGTCACAAACATACAAACAATACATACTTCAATCGATATACTGAACTTAAAGGATCTTACTTGATTACATCATGGGGAGCAGGTCTTAGCGAACAATTGTTGTACATTGCGTTGTCTTTTTAACAGAGCGAAACACGCAATAAATAGTAGTGTTTATATGTATGTAGGTGTATAGATTGAATGTACATACATACATACATACCTATGCGTAGTATGTGCTTATGTATATTTTCCCACGTTTTACGATCCCACACTGTGAGTGATTACCTGTCGGGGATTAGTGGAAAATATTGGTTGCAAAGAAAATCGACGGAGGTAGATGGCAAACAAAGAAGGAATGAGAGAAAACTTAAAAAGAAGGTACATACATATGTATGTATATGTTTTCGAATGACCGACTGACTAAGAAGCATGGCGAAGCACAAGAAGTACATTGAACCAACTGATAGTAATACATATATCATTACAACATGTGGAGGTGCATCTAACCTCACGTAGGGGTACATACATATGTACATATACATATATTTATGTACCAAATAATCTACTATCGCACTCGAAGTGTTGCATGCATGGGCATGCCATCAAATCCATACCGAGGCGTTATTCTATTAATATTACTATTAAATATTATTTATTTATTTCTTTATTTCTTCCCCTTAAATACCATACTTCATACAAGTTTTGTATTTTTGCACAGAACTACATTCAACTCGCTGCAATTGCAAGAACTTGAGCGCGCGTTCCAGCGTACTCACTATCCAGACGTCTTTTTTCGCGAAGAGCTAGCTGTACGCATTGACCTGACGGAGGCAAGAGTACAAGTTTGGTTCCAGAATAGGCGGGCCAAATGGCGCAAACAGGAGAAAGTGGACATCGGCATAGCAAGCGGAAACCTACAAGATGCCGAAGATGGTTTGAGCGCGCAGACAACGTATGCCGATGAAAATGCCATTGTACAGCTGGATAATCCTTTAGGTTGTTGATATATGTATTTCGAACGTGAATATATAGATATCTAGTGTTACTTTACTACGTAATTAATTCTAACTTACAGGCACCACCCTACTGCCGGATACACCGCCTCAGTCCGCTAATTCATTGGACAATGAACCAAAAGTGTCATTTAGTACCAGCTCTATATCACCGTCCCGACTATCACCGAATATCTTTCTCAATCTGAATATTGATCAATTGGAGCGTGGTGGGGGCGTCTCCATGGAGTGGTCCACTTATCCGCCGACGAGTACAATGTCCACCATGTGTCACACGCTCTCGCAGGCCAACACACCACCGCCACTAATTGTGACACACAGTACCAGCCATAATAACAACAACAATGATATCGGCGATCCGCAAACCAGCCACCATCAACACAATCACAATTCCAGTCAATGCAATCATCATATAAGCTTACTGAGCAGCAGCCTTAATGCATCGCTAGATCTGGATGTGACCACGAATTCCACCTATGATGAAATGAAATTCCTCAATGTCGATCAGTTTACAATTGATAACTTCAAGGCCGAATGCATCCTGAGCCTGGATCATGCGCTAGCATTGGAGGACAAGCCGATATTAGATCACCTGGGGCATGGTCTTTCATTCCACGGCGGTCAAGCGATGGAAGGCTGCGGTGTTGTAATACAACACACGCTGGAGCAGCAACTACATCAGGCACAACAGCTACAACAACAGCAGCAAAGCGAAGATCAAACGCAATTACTACAACAGAATCATCACGAAGTGCCTCATCACAATGAGCTGCATCAATTGCAACAACAACAACAACATCAGGAACTTCAACAACATCAGGAACTTCAACACACAACTCTATCACATCTAATGCATAGTTCCAGTCAAATGCATGCACCACAACACCAGAGTGCATTGAGTCTAGATTTACCAACATTTAATTTATCTGGCGAAAACGATCCCAACAAGTCGCCGCCATCTTTGTTGTCACTGGACAAACCGCTATCGCTAAATATTAATGTGGATGGCATTGGTGACCTTGTAGATGATAAGTTTTAAGGTAGGCGATATTCTATATTTAGTAGCTGGCAGTGCTGTAGATAGAGAGAGATTCGCGGCAGGGAGAGGGGTCTTTATTTTTTAAGCAAATAAAATAAATATTTGGCGTTTGCACATTTTCTACGTGTTTGGTCGAGCTTCTTCGCCAATTTGTGGTGTGCGCCTTAATGTTATTACACAAATGGATGAACATACAGGCTCACTTCCAAAACGTACCAATACAATGTTTAAATACGGTTCTGCTGCGGTATATTTAAACTGTTTTTAATATAACAATGATGACCTTTCGGAATTTTCCATTTTTAAAACACCAATGGTCACCAAAAACAAACGAAGCATCAACTTTGTTTCTGATGCGCTTATTACTCTAGCAATGCGTTTCGATAACTTTTTGCGGCTGCGTTTTGAAAAAGTATACATTGTCAACATTTTGTATTTTGGCATTACAGAATATTATATTTGTACGGATGCAAAGCAATTGACGTTTTGGAAGTCAGCCACAATTTTAAGCCGACTCCAAAGGGCAATTGGTTTTTTATGAGAAGTTTTTTCCAGCCAGAAATTCCCTCGAAGGTTAATGTCATTGCCAGGCGAGGGACGACCGCAATTAAAAAAAAAATGTTTTTTTTTTTTATCTTGACATTACCATGAATGGACCAACCGTGTCGCAGTAGCACCTCTAACCACATGGCATCGTAGAGTGGTTCAATATTCACCGGCGCGTTCATTTTTCAACCAATTTGATTTGACTGTGAAAAAGGACATTAATTTTTTTTTATTTTGCAAAGCGCTAATTGAATTTTTCTATTATATGCCTCCTACTTTGTTACCTTAATACGATTGGCAGATGGATGCATTTTTCGAAATCAAGTGGGTGAGGAAAATAGCTATAAAGTGAAGTAGGAATGAATTGAACAAAGTTATTGATACAAGTCTACTTTCCTTGCTTTGGTGGAAGGGAATGTCTCGATGATGAAACCGAAATTTAGTTTTCTTGCACTTTCGGATTTTTAACGTAATGTTGACAGTCCTGAAACTCAAGTCTGCGATACGCTCTTGGCCGCATGCTTAGCGGGTTGCACTGTCAATGAGAAAACTATTCTCGCAGCAATAGGTACAATTATTCCGAAAAATTGTTTTAAAATTGCTTGTAGTTATGAATATTGAATATGAAGGTAAACATATTCAAAAGATGGGCCGATCTCAACCAAACTTTCAAGTTTCTTTCAGACGGGTACTTGCGGATTTTCCACGTCTTTTTAAAATGGCCGATTCAATTCTTAATGCTTTTGCATTTAAAGTTCCGCCTAAATATTCATGTAGCAAATAATAGTTCTGGATGTTTGGACAAAAAAACTGGCGAGCTGAGAGCACAATTCTCACATTTATTATGAAAGCAGGATTGTGACACAAGCTTGGATTTTTGTCAACAATAATTCGAATCAACAAATTCGTTAAATTTAAAAATGTAGAAATTAATTTAATTAACTCCAATGATAAAGTCAAAATAAGAAAAAATATACGCATTGGTCCTGTTTTGTTTTCCACTTGATATAGTTAAAAAAAAAAAAATGTATTATGTTCGAAATGCAACCGTGGACGCCAGCTGACAGTGAAGCTTGCCAATTTCTGCAAATTCCTGTTTCCGTTAAACTTTGTATATTTCTCTCTTTGGAAGAGTAAGATACTTTATTCTCTGAATTTTTGCTGGATTTTCCAAACGAACACAACTAATTTGTAACAATTGCCACAAATTATCCACATTTGCTTTTAATGTATCCTAAAAATTTGTAAAGTAGGGAAAATTGAGAGAGAAAAGTGGCAGTTTACTTGGAGGGGAAGTGGCAAACTGTTACCGGAAAAATTGTAACTTGCAACAATTTGCCCGGAAGAAAAACAGCTGCATTTTACTGCATTTAGCACTCTCGAACATATATTTTCGAAGGGCGAATATGCTATCGCATTTACCAAATGCACATTTACGCGATGCCGAAGTTGTATGCTTTTGACAAACAGCCGTGTTCCAGTCGTTTATTCAGATCCGTATCTACCACGATCAATTCGCACTGAGAAGAAGGGATGCCAAAAAACCTGCTAAAAAAAAAAACAAAAAAATAAACAACAAATTTAATACAAAAACTTGAACTGTTTTAACCATAACCGAAAATTTCCTTGGGTAATATAATAATTTATCGGTGCTATCAATAAAAATAGCCTAAAGTAATCAGGAAACAAAACAAACAGAGTTGATCATAAATTGATCCAGATTTCTATCAGCATCATTAGCGGAATTTTTTCTTTATCAAAATAATGTAAAATAATAAATGAAATCTCCATCGGTGACCACTGAAACGCAGCTAGCCACTTTTCCCCAAAATTTAATGCTGGCACCTTTTCTCATTAAACCATGTCCGAATCGTGGTAATTTTCGGAAATCACAGAGCTGATTTTAGCATTTAGTTTCTTAATGCAGAAATGGAGTTGCATTTAGGTGATGAATTTGCATTTAGAGTAGCATTTAGAGCTAACTGTGCTTTTACGCGTAAGCAAAAACCGCCCATAAGAAAGGAAATATTTGTGGGTCTTTTAAAGTTGAAATTGATAGAATAAGGCTATAAAAATATACACACATTGAGAGGTTGTTAGGAAATCGCTTCGGATAAACAGTAACTAAATCAACTGCGAATTGTTAGTATTTTTGCGTTTACGTACTTTTTCGTATAGTTTTCTCTTTGAGAGAGAATGGTATCAAAATCTCGGAAATTAAATTACTGGCATGTTACTGGAGAATGCAAGAACAAGCTTAATATGAACTAGTGAAAACCCGCATGGCGTTAAAAGGCCCGAAATTGAAAATAATTCCAAAAGTTAGTCAGAGTTGTAACCTAAGTCTAAGTCCCTAAGAAAAATAAAACTTTATCTCACATCTGAAAGCCAATATCTTTAATTTGCCCCATAATTTTTAAAATTCTAAAGAACGGTGATAATCTAATAATAATAATAATAAAGGCAAAAGAAAATAACGAAATAGGCTGGAAAAGGTAAAATAAAATAGCGAAATAGGCAGGAAAAGTCACTAGAAATAGCAAAAAAGGCAAAAGAAAGCAATGAAAAATGACCGGGTTTACAGGAAAAATATTCAACGGACGCCACTATCCACTTCCTATATAGAATTGCTCGCTGAAATATATGAATATTTAAGTATTCGAGTTATTTTCTGGTGTACTTGGCGTATGAGTAACATTTGTTCCTGCTCATTTTCCATACAAAACATTTTTGCGCATTTTCATATGGCCACTTAATACTTCTTTATTTATCCATCGATTTTTTTCATTATCAACTTGATTTTTTTGTAACAGAGCAGGCTTTAACACTAAACTGATTGTACTAAACGTGCGCTCGACGTAAGTTGATACAAGTGGCGCCCAATTTAAATATGGAACGTTTGAAACTTTTATATTGTCAGGAATAAGGGCTTTCTCCTCGCTATAATCACTTTTTTTATTACCTCCCTGTTATTAGCTCTGGATGTAACTATGTAATATTGATGCGCCTAAAAGATGCAGCGATTTCTATTCTCAAGTTAAAGCATAAACAGACGGCAGCGTTGATCCGGATCAACTCGGGAATTAACTGCAGTTGATCCGGATTAAGTCCGAGTTAGTCCGGATCAACGCTGCCGTCTGTTTAAGCTTTTACATACCTGATGACAGTAGGAATGGAAATTATATTAGCGAGGTTGTAGGTTAAGCTATAATTTTATTAAAGGTACAATAGGCAAAAAAGGCAAATATCTTAATAAAGGCAAAAAAAAGGCAACATCAAATGTGTATACATATATGGAATCAGGGAAAGCTAAATCGTGGACATTCTTAATCGCATATACTCTATCGCTTTAGCAGAAAAAAAGGCAACTTCCACAAAATCCGTTCCCTGCTAATAATCTTTACCAAAAAATCTTTCCCGTATCTTTCGACTGATATATTATTTAAATAACCTAAGTTGAATGTGAGTTTTTAAACATGTGGCAACCCCCTAAAGATTGTTCAGATATAAATCCGTTTCAAAGCCATTTCAGTTGATTTTAATAAATCATTTAAATTTTTAAACAGGTGGCAGCCCTCTTCGAACATCTCAAAAATATTCCTAGTGTTCAAAGTAAAGATTTTTTAACGCTCTTTCGTTTTACAACCATATTTTAATATTTCAAATACTTTGTGTATAAGTTAACTAAATTCGAAATTTTAAACCCTCTTTAAAATACTTTAAACTAAAACGTTCTTCAATCTCTTTCGCCTGACACCCAAATTGTGTTACATATTCCCATTGCCTAATTGCCTTAATTTAAGTTGAGTTTAATTTTTTTAAACAGGCGGCCACCCTCCTAAATGTATTATAGAATTAAAGCCCTTACAAACCCATTACGACTGATATCCATCTTTTAAAAATTCATCCAATTTGTTAAATCATTTGAATATCACACTTTTTAAACACGTGGCAACACTCTTCGAACATTCTAAATTTTCAAACCATGATACAATAATTTTTAGAAGGTAGTTTCACTTCAAAATTTTTGACATAAACCGTGTCTGTGAAAAGTTAGAAATATTGCCACGTTTGACACACTCTATACAATCGCCGTTCGGAGTCGGCGTAAAACTGTAGGTCTCTCCCCTGTCGTGTGTTTGCCACAAATCGGAGGAGAAGCTCGTCCAAACACTAACATATTGTGCGAGCGCCAATCTATTACTGTTTGTGTTTTAATTTACATATATTTTTATTTTTGATATCTACATACATACATATATATTTATGTATGTATAGTTATGTAAGCTAATTAAATATTCTAGCTAGGCTTAGAATAATGTCTTTTCATAGTCCAATATATAAATAAATTTAGTTAAAAAATTAGAATTATTTCAATAGTAAAATTAACGTTAATGCTAATAAATGAACTACAGAAAATGTAATAAATAAATTTAATAAATCAATTGATATTCGTCCAAATTTTTTTTTTTTTTGTGAAATTATTCAGTCCTGCATACATAGGTATCCTTCCAAATTTGAAAGTAATTTTTGGCGAAGCAATGCCAGAAGAAGATAATATGGGAGCTCACCTTGAGGAGTAGCATTTTAGGTGTAAAGTTGCTACGTAGCAATCTGGATTTCGCCTTTTTAATAATAATACTAAGCTCTTAAACCCAACTAAAAAATCATTTTCACGTACATAGCATCTATTACAACTTTGGTGTTAAAACATAACATGGGAGTTAAGATGTCACATTTTTTTCAAATCAAGTATAAAAATGTTATTTCAACTTTCAATGGTAGGTAACATTTCAAGAAGTGTAGAAGTGATGTCGATATTTCGGCGAAATTACGAAGTGAACTTAGTAATTAAAGTACACATTTTTCTTTATATTACAGAGCAAATTTTTACTATTCATATGGATAGCTCTGTTTTCTCTCATCTTAACAGAAAGCTGTTTCAAAGACCTGGGTTCGAATCCCACTGCCTGCAAACATTTTTTTACATCCTGTTTTTTCTTTTAATAGTTATTTTTATTTTTTAAGTAATTGTAGTTGTTATTTTACTAGGAAAGACAAAAATATGCAAATGCATATCGCATATGCAAAAGCATATTTTGACACAAAATGCATATTTTGGTGAAAAAGCATAAAACTGATTATTTTGGTAATTATAAGTTAATTAATTTTCGTATAGTTTCACCTGGCAATACCTTTGCGGAGATAGCCAGGGTTCGCTGACGAGGTTTATTTAATTGACAAAAAGGAAACACACAACGGAAAGTCCCGTTATTTTTTTAAGTAAACAATTTGAATATACTCGTAAAAATCTTTCCACTGTTGCTTTCCAATAGTGAAGCTTCGCGCTAAACCCGTTTTCGTGGTCGAAAAATTCAATCAAAATCTTTTCGTGTTTTTAGCGAAAGCTGTTTAACTGTTTCCAGGGAACTGTGAGTTTTCAAGTGTACTTACACTACTACTTACTAAAGTGTGGTTTAAGGCTAAAAAAGGATAAGTGTGAACCCACACCGAAGACGACAAAACGTTTGTTCATGTCATATAAAGCAAGAGTACATTATTCGAGAGAACGAGATCAACTTCAATTGCAAAATTATGGCAACACTTTTCTTTCTTCATCAACTCATATATACGATTAAAAATTGAAAACAAAGCTACAAGGAGCAGAAAAAAGATTTTCTCCAAACGTGTTTTAAATTCACGAACCTCTGCCCAAAATTCTACAGTAGACGTCAGACTTCCCCACTGATATATATAAGTGTAATTTTTACCATTGCATTTCTATGGCATTTATTTCAATAGCATAAAACTTACATTTTTCATGACTTAAATAATAAAAAATTTTTTTTATTTGACTTTGTCTTTAAAATTTTTTCAATGGACATTTTTTAATCATATATTTAACGTGTGAATATTACTCGGTAAACGTTGGCGCAATTACTCGATTAAAGTACCCTGCAGAAAAAAATTATCAATTGATTGAAATAACCAACGATTAAAGTACCCTGCAGAAAAAAATTATCAATTGATTGAAATAACCAACTTACAGTTAGCTTTTTCGCGGGATTTCGATAAATATGTAACTAACTTTTATTTAGCTATGATAAAACTAACATTAAGTGAGTTGTAAAGTCGTGCAGGAGTCATGCATACGTTATTAGGACTTTGTTTTCTTTGCTAGTTTCTATTTAAATATCCTCATACAAAAATTACTTTCAATACACTTTTTTTCTGCACTTCGCAGATTCTTTTGGGGTGGTTTTATTCCTACTGCAAACATATTCAATCTTCGGCTGCCGCGGCTACCACCCGCGCTGCACTCGTACAGTCAATTCTGGTTTTTAAGTTCTGTAGCCTATTCAGCCCATTGGTAAATCCGGCTCTGATGTTACTCATACGCCATGTACACTCTTTCCTGCTCATTGCGCATTCAAAAATTTCTTGCGCATTTTCTTTTGACACTTCATTCATTTCAATAAATTTTCTTCATTAGTAGCTTGATTTAAGAGACCAGGCTTTAACATAAATAAGAATTTACAAAGAAACTGTTATTTTTTAAATTTTTCCCCTGTTAAAGTTTGATAATTTTTTATTTCTTCATCAAAACCACAAAAAAAACTGGAATAATAAATTAATTTCTCAGAAACTATCAGTCCTATCGGTAAGTGACGTATGTGCGGTTTATGGATAACTTCGTTACCTTTCATTTGCCGTATTTCGTATCACGATTGTTCAGTTGGTTAATAAGATATACGGGATTAAGTAGAAGTATTTCTTGTTTTAAGCTGAATAACGGCAAATTGAAAACACTTCGAAAACTTATCCATAGAAAACAAAATTACTCGATTCTCGGAATAAGCAGGCGATTCCATATATGAATGGGATAAGGGCTTCCATTGAACATTTTTGTTGTAAACCAGTGTAATTAGACATATGCCTCTTATGGTAAACACTAAATCATGATGCAATAATGAAAGGTGTTGTACGTTGTGACAGCTCGAAATCGAACTACCTTAGGTCAATATTGTATTTTGGAAGTACAAGATAAACGGGAATAAAAAAAAGCCTTTTAGTTGAAAAAGTACTAAATTGTATGCCTTCTCAACAGCGTTCCGATTATCAGAAAAGGTATATATATGGCTTGGTAGTCTCGTAAAATTGTAGATAATTAAAATAATAAAATTAGGCGTGTTTTTATTTACAGGAATATGATAATATGCTTAAAATTTTCGAGCTGATGAATACCCAGCTAGAACAGTATGGCTTATATAATTCCTTTTATGAGCCGTATCACTAAGAAAATTATCCCTTATGAATTTGAAATGTGTCCCTTATATTGTACAGGCCAAAAAGAGGAATTCATTTACGTGTGATCTTTTGTCCCCCTCTTTCATATAGGCTTCTTGTGCGCATATATCAGGTTTCATAGCTGTTGACCATACCAATAATGCCTCATGCTCAGTTTTACTTGATCAATTCGTGTTCTCGAGAAAAAAAAGTTCACGATTCAAAAATCTGAGTATAGCCGCCAAATTCTTTTCTCAACATTTTGAAAATTCTTTGTTTTTTTGCCCTATATTTGCTTTGTATGGTATTTTCAACAAAATATAGGCCAAAAACGATAAATGTTCAAACTTTGGAGAAAAACAATTTTTCAGATTTTTGGATCGTGAAAATTTTTTTTCTCGGAGAACACGAATTGATCTAGTGAATCTTAGTATGAGGCATTATTGGTATGGCCAACAGCTATCAAACCTGATATAGTCGCACTAAGGTTTTTTTGTGTTATACAAGGGATACTTTGAGGAATCATATAAGGAATTATACATTACCCAAGTCCACGTATATCCAAGTTCGTGTCATACAGCAAGCATTGACTACTTTTTAAAAATTTGTTTATTTGTTTTTGAAATTAACGACATATTTCAGAATTTGTAATTAATACGTTGTGTTCATTTTAGTAAATCCACTTTTTTAATTGTACAAAATTTATTATATACATACAGTATCGGTCATATCAATAGCAACCCCATTTCAAAGTGATATTATTTCCCTCTCATGTTAATTTATTTATTGCTTAGAATTTGCAACAAAAGTAAAGTTGAATTTCTAACAAAACCCATATAAACCGAATTTTAAAACATCGTAGAAAACTACAAAAAATACAACAAATTTTCAACCAAAATTCAAACTTTTTTCTCAGAAGTGTTAGAATTTTTTTGAGCACTCAGTTTTATAGCCCCTTCAATTCTAGTCTAATTATATGCAAGTTTGAAGTGGCTAAAAATTACCTTAGTTTTTTTAGAATCGATTAAAAACAAATCGTGTTTAATCGTCTTCCATAAACTTCGACCATATATCGATGGCTGAGTAGAAGATCGACCTATCTCGGCAGCCAGGTCGAAAACGCCCGATATCAGAAAGCTTTTCAACGCCCTATTTCAAAATTTGGCTGAAAAACGCCCTATTTTAGAATTTGATTGAAAAATGCCCTATCTCGGAACTCGGTTCAAAAACACCCTATCTCAGCACATTTTCGAAGTATTTTTATTTGAGATAGGACTTTTTTGAACCGACTAATAATAATAAAATATGTACTATATACATATCTAGTTTCAATATAAAAAAATTTATGTACACCATTAATTGTGTATACATATCTAAGTCAATATATGTGATATACATGTACATACATCTACATACATATCGTCGTTTAAAGTACAAAACCATGTATCAATAAATTGCAAAACCGCGTATAGAGATAATGCAAACCCACGTATGCGAGGTTGCATAAATTAATTTCTAGAGAGTAAAAACACTCATATTTCAAAATGGTTATCTTTTTGTAAAAAGCAATCGCATTTTTGGCTAGTATATTTCAGGAAGAATGGATAAGGATTGATCCAAAAACGTGTGTGAGCGAATCCAATTTTTAGCAGCAAATTTTACGCGGTTTTGTACTTTAAGCGACGATATGTATGTTAACAGGAACGCAGCAATCTAATACACGGGTGGAGCAGGAACGCAGCACAGCAGAAGCATACAAAAAATCTGCAAATAAATGGTTTTTTAGGTTTTTAACAAACGAGAACCTGGTTTCAACTTACTTGAACGTGTCTAAATCACAACGCACACACTAATGCAAAGGCGCAACAGGAACGCAACACTATAAAATACGGGCGGAGCAATATACAGGCGGAGCAGGAACGCAGCACAGCAGAATCGTCCGAAAAATCTGCGAATAAATGGTTCATTAGGTTTTGAAATAACAAAGAGCTCAAATGGAATGGTTCATCAATAAAGTCAAAATAAAATGTTGTAACTTACGTGTATTAGCTCTTAATCACAATACCAGCACAGGTCGGTCAGCGAAACACTAAGGAAATGACCTAATAAATGCAAAATTATAATTTATTTGTAAAATAATTCGGTTTTATTACAATACATACCAAATTTCACGCAATTGGAAAACAAATGCCAGCGAATAAGAACAAAACGAACAACGAAAATTGAATCAATGTAGCTTGTTCAGAATTTTTTTCTAATATTTTGGGAAATGTTCAGTGAAAATAGCAAAGAAACAACACAGTTTCTCCTAAGGTAGTTCAAGATGGCGGATTAGAGCGAGAAGTTGCCAACGTATAACACCTTTCATTATTGCATCATGCACTAAATGTTCTGTTACAGTTATGTTCGTTTCAGAGTTATGTCACTTGAGACAAGTATGTATTTTTAAATTTTGTTATGTACGTATTCAATCTCATGACTTTACTGGCTTAGTTTTCAAACTTGAAATTATATATGCTGCCAAATCTTATAAAACCGGATCACCCAAAGGGTATAAATATATAGGGTAATAAATATAAAAATATAAAAAAAAGCATATCCTAAAAATTCATTTGCCTTTCGGAGGCGGCGTAAAATTGTAGGTCGCTCCATTTGTGTTATATCATCATCAGGACGCACTCCACTAATTGGAGGAGCAGCTCGGCTAAACGCTTAGCAAAACTGTAAGCGCCAGGTATATATTTTATTTTGTTATGACTAAGTGCAGAAAAATCCAGTTTAAAAAAATGCAATTTGTTTCATTTCATGCGAAACGGCCCCAAGGTAATTTTTTTAAATTGTTCAGGAGAGACGAAAAATCGATGTAGTTCCGCATTATCTGTCATTCTGCACCTTTATGTAGCGATATGTACCTACTTCACCTCTGAACTTTTTAAATTGCATACATCAGTCAAGCTACATTTTAAATTGGCATGTTATACATACATACATACATATTGTTACCTTAATATACAAAGGCCCTATCTCACATCGTCGCTGAAATACAAAAAGGCGTAATTAAGTAAAAATCCGAAATTCCCGTTTTGATTGCTTATGATGTATGTATGTCATCGAATTATAAGTCCCCACATCATTTTAAGCAATAAAAAATTTCACTCAGTTACGGCTTTTTTTCATTTCAGCGGCTATATGAGTTAGGGTCTTTCTATATTAAGGTATATACAAAGCGAATATACATATGTACATACGTACTACATAAGTGTGTACTAGGGTTATCGAATCGGTTTTCCAGGCCGGTTTTAGCCGGGTTTATCCGAAATTCTTGTCCGGTTCTTTTGAAATATTGAGTAAAGCAGGTTCTTCATCTAGAATATTTATACAACTATTTACATCCCAAAGTTCACTATAAATTCATTATAATATAATATATTATATATTATTTTTTTATTTTGTTGAAACCATTTTAAAAAATAGAAGGTAGTTTCACTTCAAATTTTTTTGACGGACACATGCATTTTTGAACTTTCATAATTTGCATGATAAAAACATAGCAAGGCAGATGAAGTAATTAGAGTGAGAAGAAAGACTGCCTTATTTGAAAAATTGCCTTTAAATTTTGACTATAATGCAGCCGAATGTTAGAAAAAATTATTCAAAAATTAAAGATTTGCTCACTACTGACATTAGAGTTTTGGCAGGCACACAGGGCCTTGCTAAGGGAGCCGATTTTGTCAAGAGGGACAATCACATATAGTCTGTTCCTTTGAACTCCGGACTGATCTCTCAAGTGAGAGTAAAAGGAGAATAGATGCAGAAGCGTAGGGGAACACAAAAGTCACTATTTATTTCCTGTAAAAACGCCTCATTACAAATGGCGCACGGCGTTGCCAACATTGTTAGTAATCAATTATAAATAATGGTATGTATTTCGATATGGGAGAATCTGCTGTTTCTAATTGGCCTTAGGCTTTCCCGACGATCCTAGTACCTGATAAGAAAACGGTAGTTCCCCCTTAAAATTTTAAATTTATAGCAATTATGATTATAAAGATACTTACCCTTTTATGATATTAGTACAACAAAGTGTAGAATTATACTTTCCGTGATCACTTTTATTTGCGAAGTTTTTAAGCAAATTAGCATAATTATATATGTATATACATTGCGTATTAGGCCACGTCAAAAAAAAAAAACACTAAAAATCCTGCAACAATGCTACCGGAATAAGACTCAAATTTTAGAATTTGGTATAGTAATGATCCTTCATGAATCTCACCTCTCGAGGACAATTGTAAGAGGTGCCGCCGAGAGCCTTTAGTTTTCCCATTGGAATTACACGTAAGGTGTATATAATTATATAATTATCTAGGATCAATGAAATTGCTTGGAACTGTAAGAATACATTGATTACATGCCATTTGAGTATTGTGCATGCTCAAATTCGTAAAATTCCAAATAATTTATATATTTACTATAAGGATGCTGTTTCAGGGCTAATACACATATACATACATCTAAGATCATTTAACAGTTGTTAAGATCTGTTAGCTTTTATGGAAAAAATTAGCAAAATTATTTTTTGTCACGTATTCGGCTCGCATAAATATGGTCACCGTATATACACTAGATTTGACCCCAGTCGGACAAGGGATTAAATAAGGATAATTTAGGAATTTAAATAATCTCAGCCTACATAACACTGGTCTACAAGGGTTTTGCGAATAAGACGGGACCTGGTGTTTCCGAACGGATTTTTCGTGCTGAACACGAATCTGGGGTCCAAAACTTCCCATCACGTCACGTTTTCGAGAAAAAAGGGGTTGAAACCCCTAAAAACAGCGTTTTTGGCCATTTTTGAAAAATTGTAGAGCTGAACCCTGACGTGCTACAAACTTTGTATATGTCAGAAATTAAAGGCTAAATCGTGCCCTTTCGAATGAGCCCTATGCCGAATTAATCGCATGCACCCTTAGATCAGGGGGTGTATTTGTGTCTAGGAGTCCAATTTTTATATCCACCATATTCGACCCGTCATCTTAAATTTTTAAAATATAACTGCAGATTCGTAATCAGCGACTTTTAATATAGTTAAAACCTTGGCATTATTAATTTTCTATGATCGTTTAAGATTAAATTCTTTCTGTGATCAATTTTTCCTGCACCCCTAAACACAAATACACCCCCTGCTTTAAGGGTGCACGCGATCAATTCGGCATAGGGCTCATTCGAAAGGGCACGGTTTAGCCTTTAATTTCTGATATATGCAAAATTTGTACCACGTCAGGGTTCAGCTCTATAATTTTTCGAAAATGGCCAAAAACGCTGTTTTTAGGGGTTTCAACCCCTTTTTTTCTCGAAAACGTGACGTGATGGGACATTTTTGACCCCGGATTCGTGTTCAGCACGAAAAATCCGTTCAGAAACACCAGGTCCCGTCTTATTCGCAGAAAAAAAGTTGAAATTTGTAGACCAGTGTAATCCTTAAATGGCATGTAATCATATACTATTATTCTTACAGTTTCGAGGTTTTGGAAAAATTTCGAATAATCGAACACCCTAGTGTGTACATAAACACATTCATTTAACGTCAACTTCTTAGATCAACTACGTAGGTACATACATATAGTATAACCGTAAAGAAGCACAATCTCAATGTGAAAAAATAGGAAAATGCCGCTCGACCGTAAATTCACTTCTTTGGCACTGGTAATATTCCTTTTCAGCGTTTGTCCTACTCCTAGCACACACGCCTACGATTGTCAAGTGTTTCTGCAAGACAAGGAAATCACAAGCACAGATTGGGCGAGCTTAGAGCCCTGCCTAGGATTGGCAAATAGTGAAGACATATCTGCTAATACAAGCGAAAATATTTGGCGTCTCATCAAGATTGTAAGATTTTTCAAATAGAAAAAAAATATCATAAACATTTTGGTTGTAACTCTAATTTCCAAGGCCTTTGATGGCGTTGAAAATGTACCACCAGAGGTGTATGGTAAAATTCGTTTAGTGCTTACAGCCATCACTAACGAAGAGCTGCATAACATTAGCATGGCACGTGTGGAGATAGTCGAGGCATTTGGTGGAGTGCATGCGCTGAATAGCGGCGACACGAACAAAGGCTTTACCGATGAACAAATAAAATTAATTGCCAGAAAAGTTCGTACGGAGTGGCTGGGAAAGCGACCGGAAACCTATTCCGAATATGATCTCGTTTCAATGGGCGAAATCGCATGCCATCTGAATGCGAGTGATATTTTCAATATACATGCGGATGCTTTCAAGTAATGTGGAGGCAAAAAGTTTATGAGTATATCGACAACCGAAATGCAAAAAGATGTTACTAATAATTTGTTTTTTTTTTTTATAAAACAATGTGGGGAGTTGTGTAATTCGTTGAAATCCATCATATCAATCAAAACGTGAATTTTGAATTTTTTATTAGCTACGACCTCTTGCGTTTCAGCGACGATGTTCGTTACGTCATTTTGCATTTCAGGTGACGATATGTACATATGTATGTATATAACATGTCCTTTATAATGCATATATGTAAATATTTTTCTAGAGCCGCTGCTGAATCGATTGGTAGTATTGAATCCTGTCCTGAAACTCAACTGCAGGCTTTTGCCAAATTAGCGTTGCGAAAGGAGGCCTTTGGTGAGGCAAAGGATTGGTCGAAAATTGTTGTAAAAAAAATAGTTCAACACAAGGTTTTCTTAGCGTGTACAATATTTTTTTTTTTTTTTTAATAGGTCAGCTTGGTTGGCAACATTGTCAACGGCCTATCGCAGCCCGATATGATAGCTATCGACGAGAGCAAACTAAAACTTAATCAGTTCTATGCTCAAAAAAAGAAAAAAAAGAGTCACAAAGGTCAAAAGAGACATGTTGAAAATGGCGAAGAACAAGAAAAGTCGACAAAAAGGAGAACGTCACACTAATAAGGATTAACATCGATACTATTAAACTCCATTACTCAGTACCAGCATTATTTATGAATCGGTTAATTATAATTTGGTAATTGTCCACGATAATAAGTCAGCAGTTTTCCGAACCGAACTGCATCAAAATTGTCATATCGAAAAAATTGCTGACTTATACATACATATGTATATGGATTAATATAAATATTCACATACATACATACTGTAACACACAAAATTGAGCGTACGGCTCGTTTTTGTTAATACATATTCGCAATGTTTTACATGCTAAAATCTTTTTGTTAATTTTGAATTAAAATATGGCTTATATTTTAATGAAAAAAAAAAATGCGAAGGACAGTCAGCAAAAAATTCTCAAAAATCAATACGAATTTTTAGACATTTGAAATTGAATGGGCTATAAAACTACATACCTGCATGCTTTTTAGAAATTCGTATTAAAAAGTTCGAGATTTTGATGAAACTTCGCAGATTCGCTTAATTTTCGTATACTGTTTCATTCTTGGATTTAAATGGGGTTTGCTAAAATAGAAGCCCCATTTTAATACAAAATTAACAAAATGATTTTAGCATGTAAAACATTGCGAATTTCAACAAAAAAGAGCCGTACGCTCAATTTTGGGAGTAACAGTATGTATGCATAGACCCTTAAAGCCATAAAAAAGTAAAATTTTTGAAAATAAAATAAAATAAAGTTTCTCGTGACCACATTAAGCGCCGGTTAATTTTTCGACGATTTAACAGGCAGCAGCATCAAGCGTACACTAGATTTTTTTTTATATTGACATAAAGGGCTGGTTTCTCCAACTCAACTTATACAGATATATCCTAGCCTAGGCAAAAGTAGTTTGACCTAAGATCAGATTTTACCGGTAACATATATGTACATACATACATACATACATAGGCACATGTAACTTACCTACCTGTTTGCTCTTATAACAAAATGTTATTGCAGATAGTGGAATTTTCAAAATGAGAATATAATATCATTAAAGCTATATTTTAAATTTGACATTATTGTCATGGCTGAAGGATTAATCGCGGAGCTCACGTTACCATCGAAAACTTATTTTGATCAAAATTGCAGATAGAGGATATTGAATATAAGCCCTCGATATGTAGCTGTAATATATTTCTTACAAATACAAGTACGAGTATTTCTGTTGCGAATTTGTGGCATATTATAAGTAGCCTAACCGCTGAGTTTTTTCGTAATCATCGCTGAATTTTCTTCCCTTTTCCCAACCTTGGCACCAGAGAAATTTTTGTATACGATTAGAAATTTCTTTAATTTAACAAATATTTTGTATATATTTTATTAAATCAAAGCAAAATTTGCATTAATACAAAGATCTGTGTTAGTAATCATAAAATAAAAATCTTAAACATTAGACAAATTATGGATTCGTTAATAAAAATTTGTTTTAATCTGTTAAGAGTTTTTCCATTATATAATAAGACTCAAATTCATACACATCATACAATAGACGCAGTGCACAAACATATATGTGAATACATATTTCCAGGCGTACATATAAACATTTATGATAAAGCGAAGCTTGTGTGCTGAATTATAGCAGTGGCGACTTGTAACAACTAGGTGCCTGCTTTTAAACTATCAGGACTCGAATCGTCACGTACGATATCGTATTACTCGTCACGTGAAAACACCTTTTTCGGATTATTGTATGTGAACGTATCACGTAATTTTCTTTCGTATGGTTGTCGATCCGTGATCGGATGTTACGATTCGAGCCCAGGACTCACTTCTATACTATCAAATAAATACAGAGAAAAATTGCTGTCAATTCAGGATACATATTTATGTACATATATACGCCGGTTATCAACGTTTCTCATTGATGGGTGATAGCGTGTTGCTATTTTGTGAGCTGGGCCGCTCTATGGTCATTGTCTGTTGTGGCACTTGGCTATCCGGACTAATGCCCAGTCCTGTGTAAATTTCTTTCATTACAAAGAGTATCGTGTCTTCAGATTCCCTGCAATGATAAGTACGAAGAGGTAATAACACATTTAGATATACTTGTGATTGTACTTGTAAATAATAATAATATAAGCGTCGATGATGCATACATATCGAGCCCTAACCGCCAAAATAACGTAAGCGACATTTTTTTCAAAATTTTCTTTTTGATGCAGAAATATTACTAGAGCATCCAGATGCCATTCTACATCAAAAAGAAAATTTTGAAAAAATTGTCGCTTACGTTAATTTGGCGGTTAGGGCTCGATATAATGTAGCACGTGCGGAAAACTTAGCGAATCCTGAAAAGTTAAAAATTAAACTAAAGTATTTTAATAAAAATCAGGGTTCAAATAAACTATAAAAATATTAACTTTTGGATAATACTATACTTGACTATATTCTCCATTTTGATCGCATGCGAGGCACAAGAAAAATGAACGCGCACCGCATATATTGGATGTCAATTGGCACTTGTTTCTAGATGCTTTAAGATCTAAATATATTTTAGAACAATTTTGAATCGCTACATCCCAGAAATGGTAATTCTTAGGAAAACAAATTTATACTAGGCAACACTGATTTTGGTGCGGCAAATGTTAAAGCGGTTTTTGATAGACTTTTTTGTGTGCTGATTACGAATCGGTAAGTAGAAAGTTTCCATCAGCTCCAGATTTTGAAAAAATGAAGTCAAACTGTCAAAAAATCGCGTTTTTTGCAACATTTCGGAAGCTCTAGTAAAGAAACAAAAGGTAGTAGTACCATCCACGTAGGCTTAAATTAAAGTTAGCACCTTGACCTGATGGCCACTTTTAGTTATTTATTGAGCAATAAAAAAAAAGAAAACTGGAAAATTCCGACCAAGGCCATGGAGCAATAACTTGCAGCCGGACTGCTCCGGATCCTTCTTCTCCGGGCAGGCATTGATTTCCACCTCGGACTAAAACATACTTCTGCTGCATTTGCCAGAGACGACAAGCTTTGTGGCCCTCTGCTGCTCTACCCGCAAACGGCACGCATTCAAAGCATCGAATAACACAGGGATATAGAAGTTTGGTTCAACATGCAGAAACTTTTATTTTTGTATACTTGTGTTATTATTTTGTTCGAAAGGTATTTCAAACGAGAGGTGCGCAATGTGTCTATTTTTCCGGAAGGTGGCCCGACTTGCTTCAAATCACTCCACCTAACAATATTAGTAATATAGAACATCAGGAGGTGCTCATTTTTTCTTCATCGAAGAAGCTTGTGGATCGAAGTCTGTGGATCCATGATCTCCGTGTTAAGTAAACTGCATCAAACAATCGCTGTTACAAATATTTTTCGTTTTTCGTAGCAAATTTATTTAATTTTACTTGGCTAAACAGTAAAAAAATAAAAATAAATAAATTTTCACAATCAACATTTGCGCGGCAACCAAAAAATGTAGTTGCCAATATAGCAATTCAGTTGTAAGCTTTCCGTTGCCAGTTACCATCTGTAATACAATTTCAGCCACTGGCAATGCAACTGAAGTTCGGTTGCCGGAAAAAGTTTCTTACTTTTATGAGAGTATTTCGTACCTACACACATTTGCCCAGAAAAAAAAAAAAATAATAACTGTATACTGCAATAGGTTTGTTATTGCTTAGATGAAGCCAAGTGTACATTTGTGCAGCGGTTTAACATACAAATAAATAACCGAATTCGTTAACTTACCAATAACAAACATGCGCGCCCATGGCGAATATGTACTCGTTGATGAATTCCAATGGTGCTTCTTGTAAAACATAATCGATGCGCTTGGAGTCATTCAATTTACCCAAAGGAAAATCTATTTCAACCAAATCGGAATCAGATTGCGACGTTGACACTGAATCGGAACGTGTACGAGGCGGTTCTGTGTTCGCTTGCGTGGAGCCAGCATGCGGCTCACTGGATAAACTAGGCTGCACTGCTGCTTGCTGTTGTTGTTTCTCTGCTTCTATTTGCATACTTAAAACCTAAAGATTACGTTTGAAGAACGAAATAATGTTTAGTGGTGCATAATATGCTTATCACTCATGTATGTATAACCGATCCACATACATACCTTATCAACTTCCTTTGACATGTTCTCCTCCGCATCGCGGCTGGTTCGCGTCGAGCCTCCCAAAAAATTAACACTTTCCAACGTATTTTTGAATGTATCCAAGAACCGTTGTTTCAAGTCAGCACCCACACGAGTCATTGTCTCTTTCAACTCCAAATGCATACGTTTACGTCCCTTGTGATGTGGTATCAGTACTGGTCGCACATTGCTCAAATCGGGATTAACCAGCGCTTCGATGCGATAAGCGACTGGATCGAAGGGATGGAATATGTTGTAAAAGCCCGAACAAGTAGGCAGGCGAAAGTCAAGGCCAAGCTTATCAATGCCACGAATGGTGACAAACATGCCTTTTGAAAAGGAAAATATATGAGTTTAATAGCGTTGGGGTAAACAACAGCGCAGATTACTGAAAATGGGATACACTCACCGATTGGTGAACCCAATGCGAAAACTTTTTTCGGTTCAAAATTAAGCTGTGGATAATGTATAAATGGCTGACCAGTACCAGCGTGGCCCATTGTATAGCTTGTAACGCTCAGATCGTCATTGCTGACGTCCATGGGGCTTGTGCCGAGCTGATCGGGATTCTCCTGCAAACCCAAGGAAAAAATAAAAATAAATATAAGTAAATAAAGTAGAGCGCCACGCACGGAAGTGAAACTGTGCTTATTTCGAAAATTTTAATTTAAATATGGCTCATTCCACGGTGACTGGTGTGACATTTCAACCTACATTTTAAGGCTTAATTCTTAAATTATAATATAAAATCTTTAAAGCATTTGAGCATCGAGCGCACCTCTCCGCATTCGTTTTCTTATACTTTTAAGTTATTTTTACTGATGAAGAAAAAAGTAGGAAGAAACTAGCGGTGCATCGAGTTTTTGTGAAAAGGCTGAGAAAAGAACATTAAAATTTGGCAGCGCTCACTCAGGGTAGAATAAGTGAAGCCTTCTTTCGAGAAAAGAAAACATGCCGTTTTATAATGTGAAAATGCTTAATCAAATACTTTTTCTGTTCAAAATTATCAAATCGCTAATATGAAAACCCCGAAAATTATGCTGTTTGAAAAAATCATGTCA